TTTCACAGAAATGAGATATATAGGCTCAAAGTGGACAATCCGGGTGTCGTTCTATTAGAGGTTTTACGGAAATTTGATTTTTTTTCTGATTTCTTGGCGCTTTTCTCGATACAGTGGAAAATTAGCTTTTTCAGCATTTTAAAATTCTAGGTCGAAATTTTTGATTTCAAAATAGGTAGCAATTATGAAGGCGAGGAAAACACACGAAATGAGCCAAAGAACGTCAAATTTGGTTAAGAATTGAAGGAGGAGATACATTTTTCAGAAAATCAACTGAAAAATTCAACTTTTCGAGGTTTTTGCTGACCATTTCAAATACCACCGATCGCATATTTTTTAATTAGGTAACAATTGCGTGGAATTTTATGGGGAACATTTTGATATAAATTTCTCCTGGGAAAATTCAAAACTGAGGGAGGAGATAGGTTTTGAATCACTCAGATTCGGATCAGATTACTGTAGATTTGGCTAAAATTTACTTTTTTTTTCCAAAATTCTTTGCTGATTTATTCGGCGTGTTATTTTTGGCGTGGAATTTTTGGCTTGGATTGGCTGGAATGACCTAGAAAGGGGAGAATTGAGGGGAAATGCTATGCCTAGATTCTCAAATCCATCACTATCTCGATTCACGAACAAACTAATTTCTTTTGAACTTTTTGAATTTTGCTTTTTATCGATGCACAAGAAACGCGTCAACAATCATCAGTTGTGCGTGAATTGGAAAAAAAATTACGTAAAATACAAAATTTCCAGAGAAATACATTTTTCAAAAATTTCGAAAAAAATGAAACCGGTCACTTCACGCTTCTAAAGCAAATAAAAAATCGCGTAAAAAATCGAAAAATACAGTCCCCATACCCCTCCCCTCTGTTATTTGTTCATTGACGTGTATATTAAAAAAAAAACAATAGTTTCCAGAACAAATTCATTTTTCAAGTATTCCAAATAGTTTGAGTTTGAAAAACTTTTAATTTCCAACAAACCGATTGTCCAGAAACACATAAATTTAATTCAACTGCTCTCTGAATGGCATTCGAATTTGAAATCACTCCAAAAAGCCTTGTGATCAGTCCGGATAATCCACTTCAAGTGCAAGTGAAAATTGCTCAGGAAAGGAGCAAGACGTTTACTTGACGGTCCATTCCTTGCTTTTTCGAATTCTCAACCCGACAGCTGCTAACAAGTGTCATGAAACTCAATTTTATAGTGATATGAAGGCAAATGAGTCTTTGCATTTTCAAATTGGGTTGTTGGATGAGGCGGTAGGATTTGTATCTGTGGGATTTTCGGATTATCACAAAAACCTTTAATTTTCAGACTAGATAAAAGAAAGCGAAGAGAGAAAGAGGAACAGGAAAAGAAGAAAAAGAAGCGTCGCAGATGTATTCTTATGTGATTGTGATTGGATTTTTGAAGTGAAGGTACTTGTATTTTATTTTTTGATTTGTTGTTGGAAGATTCAATCGTTAATTATTACGTGGTTTTCTATTTTTCCTGTGAAATTTAGATTAGATTAGATTTATTTATTTTCAGATCGGTGACCAACAGTTAATAAGAAAAGGCTGCCCCCTCACGAGGAGCGCCTAATAAGTTAAAAACAGAAGAATAATGGAAAAGGGAGGAATTATATACAGTAAAATACATGTGTTAAAAATAAAGCTAGTAGCGGACCTCTATTTTTTGGGACCTCCGATTTTTTTGGGACCTCTAAACTAGAAATGAGCCAAACAATTCACGTAAAATACAAAATTTTCACGGAAATATTTTTTAAAAAATGTTGGAAATTAATAAATGTGGTCACTCAACACATGAAAAAAATGCCACGCAAAAAATTTTCAAAACAACAAGTAAAAATCGTTATTTTTCAAGTATTCCAAATAGTGTGAGTTTGAAAAACTTTCAGTTTCCAAAAAAACCCGAATTCCGAGTTTTCAGAAACACAAAAATTTACTTCAACTGATCTCTGAATGAATATCCCATTTGAAATCACTCCACAAAGCCTTGTGATCAGTCCGAATAATCCCCTACAAGTGCAATTGAAGAATAACTCAGGAAAGAAGCAAGACGTTTATGTGACCGTTGATTCGTTGATTTTTCGAATTCTCAGCCCAACAGGTGTTGGAAAGAATAGTTCTCAAATTGAAAGTTCATTGTGGAGAGATCAGACTTTGTACTTTCAAATCGGATTGTTGGATGAGACGGTAGGATATTTTGTTTTGTGGATTTTTGAATTACCGTAAAACCTGTAATAGGAGGGCCCCACACTTTGAGTCAATTTATCTTGGCTGCTAGGAAAGATAGAAAAAATGTGTCAACTGATAAAATGTTTGTGAAATTATGATAAGCAAATCATTAGTAAACAGATTGCTCAAAGTTAAAAGTAAGGGGGTTTCTAATACAGGTTTTACGGTAACACAACTATTAATAATTTTCAGACTCTAAATCTGCCAATTGATAATGGTGACTACATATACTGCAAAAGCCTTGAGGGAGATCTTTCAGTTATGTATGGACCAGAGCTTTACGCAGAAAAGAATGCCAACTCTGTATATGAAATGATAGATTTTTGGAATCATTACGAAGTGCAGCAGGTTGATCCTGTGAAAAAATATTTTCCATTGGCTTTGGAGCATGAAACAAAAGCGATCAAGAAGCGCAAAATCGAGCATGAGAAATACAGAAAGGAGCATGCAAAAGAAATTGAGGAATGGAACGCGGAGCAAGAACGTCTGAGACAGTACAAAAGAGAAAAAGAACAACGAGAGAAAAGAGAAAAAGAGGACAAGGAAAAGGAAAAGATGAAAGAGGACAAGGAGAAAATGAAGAAGAAGCGTCGTAAATGCATTCTTATGTGATTGATTTATGAAATAAAAATATTTGAATTTCGTTTTTTGATTTGTTGTTCGAACCAAGAGCTCATTTGACTTCTAGGGGGCTTTGTTTTTATTAAGTTGAGCGAAAAGTCTTTTTAATTTTTTTTGGACCGTCATATCTCAGCGTTGATTCAACTTTTTATTATTCTGTTTTTTTTATATTGTAGTACTAGTTGTGCATGCTTAAAAAATTTGTTAAAGTTACCGACGGCGTTCATAAGAACGAGAATTTGCCCAGAGACCACCATGCTCTCAAGGGTGCTTTTTTGTGCGAGTTTCTCCAAGGTCACAAATGCAGCGTAGCTTGTCGTAAATTGTGTACAGTGTTAGGCCAGAACTATATGTCCTACATTACATGTAAGTTTTGATTCAAAAGATTCTCCGAAGAGAACTACGATCTCGAAGGTCTGGCCTACCACGTGTTAATCTCAACGAGGACTCCTCTAGAGCGCTAGAAGAAGAAGCAAGAGTAACGTCATGCGGGCTTGCAGCAAGTCTCAACCATCCTCAAAAAACCATAATTGATCATCTTCGCGAAACTGGAAGGGTACCAAAGTTTGGTTAAATCAAGTCGAAACGAGGTCTTCAAACGAATTGGGATTGCAGACATATGGTTTTTTGAAGTTATCAAAAGATTCACCGAGTCTGGATCTCTATTTGATTGCACGTGGAAAGAAAGAAAAACTACGGTGACAGCTCCAGAGTACGTTGAAGCTGTTCAAGATCAAATCAGGAGTAGCCTTCATAGATCGCTCAGAAAATTGGCCATGAATATGGGTATCTATTGGTTTTTAGTCTAATAGATAGCCCGAAAGAATATTTATGTAAAATGCTATTGTATTCCTAAAGTGGTCATCTTGTCGGAGAGAAATAAGCAATAGCGTCTGGAGAAGGCTAAATTTCTTTTGGATGGCACGCAGAGAGGAGACCATTTGGGGTCTGTTCTCTTTGACGAGCAGTGGTTCACCATTGAAGCCGAATTTCACTCTCAAATTTTTTGTGTGTTAGGCAATGATATTAAGGAAGCTTTTGAAAAAGTAAAAACCATTCCTCAAGTTTTCCATCCGCCCAGCATGACGGTTTTTCATGAGATATGCTCAAATAGCAAATTTTATAGAGAAAAACGTCCGTATCGCCGAGAAAAGATATATCGAGCAAATCTTGAAGAAGAATCTGCTCCCACGGACCAAATCCTACTTTGAACAGGTACACTTGGTTCACCAGCATGGCGGAGCTCCAGCCCACACCGCCAAACTCACCCATCAGTGGTGCGAGGCGCACCTGCCTGGGCGGACAAATGGCTATTCCATATAGAGTTTTGCAGAACAAGGTCTGTTCAAGACCCCACCTAACTTTCGCGGCTCTGGAAGAAACACTTTTCTAGAAATGGGACAAACTTTGGTCCGTGAAACCATCGATGTCTACCCCTTCTAGGTCATTCAACGCCAATCCAAGCCAAAAATTACACGCCAAAAATAACACGCCAAATAAAAATTCCAAAAATTTTGCATAAAAAATAATAATTTTTCCTCAAATCTACAGTTATCCGACGGCTTCAAATCCTATCAGGGGTCTCAATTCTAAATTTCATAACTTGATTTTAGTATCAAAAAATTTGTCGTAAAATTCTGCAAAGATTCTATTTATTTTCATTATGAATGGATCAACAGATTTTTTGAAAATTCCCCAAAACCTTCAAAAATGCCAAAATTTAGTTGATTTTCTGGAAAATCTATCAGGACCTTTATTTTTGTTTCAAGTTTGACGTTTTTCAGATCACTTTATTCGTTTTCAAATTCTCTACAATCTCTACTTATTTTGAAAAAAATTTGTTGATCCAGAATTTTTTATTGCCAAAAAAGATGATTTTCCGCTGTGTCGAGAAAAGCGCCAATACATCAGAAAAAAATCAGAAAAACTCGATTTCCAATATTATTCGCCGTGTCTCGTTCCTCTTTTTTCTTTGTATCGTGTTTTCCAAGATCAATTTACAAGGAAAAAAAAACAGACGTGTATGTCAATATAGCAAAATACTTGAAAAGCAAGTTTATTCTTTACAAAATAATAGTCGTGTAAGTTTGAAAAAAGCTGCAATATTCCAACGAATCAAATGTTCCAGCTCGCAGGGATCACAATGGAATTTTTTAAGCATAAGCCGTTCAAGTTGGAACTCACTCCGAAACAATATGTGATCAGTCTGGATAATCCAAAACCAATACAAGCACAGGTGAAGAACAACACGGAGGTGGACCAAGACGTTTCTGTGATTGTCTATTCTTTGTTCTTCCGAATCGCCGAAGCTGGATGGGTCGAAGACTTCCATACTTCTATCCACAAAATTATGAAGCCAAACGAGACTTTGAAATTTGAAATTGGAATTTGGGATGATGCGGTAGGCTTACTGGGTGGGGCAAAAGTTCTGCAACCCAAGTTTGACTTAAGCTGGCGCCCTCTGACACACTTTTCGTGCATTGATTTTATGTTTATATTTTTGCCAGGCTCTGCATTAGTAAATGTGCATAGTTTCATGTTTCTACCTCATTTTTTACGAAAACGGCACTACTTTCTGTGAGCACCCTTTGGTGTTTTCCCTGAACGCGTTTTCATTGATGGGACACTGTTCAGCTTAGAGCAAAATTCCATTCTAAAAATTGTCATGTATAGGCACAATGTCCTTGACTTTCTAACCGTAATAGTATCTATATTCTCTAAGCAGCCGATCCTCAGCAAAAATGTCAGGAGCAAACCGCTGTAGTTTAATTTTGTCACAAATCTCTTTCATAAAATCCTGTTAAAATTTGAAGCGGATTCGACTATTTTCCGAAAAGTTATGACGTCTTCTTTTGGTTGCAGAACTTTTGCCCCACCCTGTAGTATGTTTTTGGATTCAATCACGATATGGGTTTTCAGAAGCTCAGTCTTCCATTTGAAAGTTCCCATTCACAATACTTTGACCTAGAACATATGGAAGGACGTCTCTGTATTAGCCATTCGCCAACCTCTGTTGTAAGAAATGCGGATAGCGTAGAATTTGAATTGTTAGCTGAATATTACAACAATTCTGAAAGTGGCTACTGTTCCATTGATTTGGTGCCAGAGCGTGAAACGGAATTTATTAAGAAACGAAAAGTCGAATTTGAGGAATTTCGTGCAAAAGAAGAGGAGGAACAGAAGGAATTTCGGGAAAACCAAGGAAAACCAAAGAAAAAGAATAAGAAGTGTCCTAAATGTAGTATCCTGTGATTGTGATTGGATTTATAAAATGAATATTTTGAAATATTATTTTGTGATTTACGAACAACCTATTAGGTTGAACAGAAAGTTTCTACCTTTTTTGGCAACATTTTTTTAATCAAGTTTTTTTCTCAAAGCGTAGCTAGATTAATAAAAGTCACGTTCATGAGCATTGATAGTTGTCTGGTAACGCTCCGGTAATTTTTTCATTTCATCGGCATAGAATGACGAGAGCTGTGATTGAAAACATGGGTCAATTCCTTTTTGGTATCACCTGTTCAATTAAAATCTTTTCTACCAAGAAGACGTTTGAGAGCATCAGACGATCATTCATCCGAAAGGGTAAGGTCTTGAACTCGATACCGAGTTCCTTTCTCGAGATGAAGTTGCAGGGAGACGAATAGAGCTAATGATCAAAATGAAAATCATCGACGGCAGTCATTTTCTGAGTCGGGAGTGTACTCGGAAAATACGGCAGGTGCAAAAGAATAGTCCAGCCAAACGACATGAATTTTTTGGTTGAACGAATGAAGTGAGATAAAAATTTGAAATTTTACGATCTTATAGACACTTTACACAGCCCTCCAACAAAAAAAATCTGGCCTGGTACACCACATTGAAAAGCAGAAATCGAAGCTCAAAAAAGATGAATGATCGTCTGACGCTCACAAACGTCTTCTTGATAAAAAGGATTTTAATTGAACAGGTGATACCTAAAAGGAATTGACCCATTTTTCAATCACAGCTCTCGTCATTCTATGCCTATGAAATGAAAAAATTACCGGAGCGTTACCAGACAACTATCAATGCTCATGAACGTTACTTTCATTAATCTAGCTACGCTTTAACTTTTTTACCAACCTAATGTTTTCTGTTCATTCCTCTTCAATAAAATTTCTTAATCAAAGTCTCCTGGAAATCTGTTTGGTTTCCATTTTAAAAATTCCGAAAATCGAACTCATTCCTATTTTCAAAATTAATCATCAAAATCCAGAAATTCAAAAAAAAAACTAATTTCAAAATCAGAAAAAAATCTTTGAAAAAATATTTTTTGATTTATTATTAACAACAAAAAAAAGATCTACTTTAAAAAACCCCGTCGACTTCCAAATTCGCACAACAAAATCCAAAATCTTCCTTGATTGAATCCATATTTTTCATTGAGAATATCTTATCACCATCCTCATAAATTTTCCTTGATTTCGAGTTTGCAGAAGCTGGAATTGCAGAAAATTGGGCGGCCAACGTTTTCAAAATTGGAAGTTTCGATTGATTAAAAATCCAATAATCGATTGGATTCAATTGAGAATTTGGCTCTTCTTGGAGGTATTCGGCAATCTCCTGGAATTGAAACTTATAGAAAATTGCAAATTTTGGAAATTCAAGATTTTTTAATTCTTTTTCAGAAAAATCGCTATTTGGACATTTTTTTCACAAACTTCATAAATTTTTAATTCATTTCTTTCATAAATTCAAAATTCAGACCTTTTCCAAATTTGCTCCGGGCACTTCTGTTGGTTTTGATGGTCCTTGTGATTGTAGAAATAAGTCGAAAGATGACAAATCCATTTGATTAGGTTTTTCTTCTTTACTAATACTCAATTTGTTCTCGAAATTTTTATCCGCAAACTCTCGATAAGTGGCGAGAATCTTCTCCTGAAAATGAAATTTAAAAATATTGAAAACCAAAAAAAAATCTTACTTTATGAGATTCAAAAAAGTAGCGATCTCGGAATCTTGGGTCGAAAAAAGTGGCGGTTTTGAGGATTTCATTATTTTGACAAATTGTTGAAACATTTTGAAGGTCGGAAATCACTTGGGATTTTATAAAAGATGTGGTGTCGGATCTGGAAAAGAACAAATTTGAAAATTTTCAGGAATTTTAAAAATATTTTTGGTTTCGGAGTTTACCAAATACTGACAACTTCAAAATCCAAAATGTTGGAAAACCGTAACATTTTTGAAAATTCAGAAATTCAGGATAAGTTTAGACTCCCAAAATTCCATCAATAATTTCAAAAACTCACAAATTTCCCGAAACTTCCAATCCTTCCAACTTGTGCAGCAAAACTCTCAAAGTCGGAATTATCACTGAAGCCGTTGGATAACTTTGATTTCGAATTGAATTTCTAGCTGATTTAAGTTCCATAAGGATACTGTACATAAATTTTGAGATGAGCAATTCGTCGGGCGTCAGTTCTGGGCAGCTGGAAATTGAATTTTTTTGAAACTTCAAGTATTACTATTCAAAAAAAAACTCACTTTGCCTGTTTCGTCGTTGCACAAAAATTGGACAAAACTTGTGGAATCTGCGTATCTAACAAAAAGTACAGTAATCCCCAATGATCGGTCCATGACATGAATTCTGGACGTTGGAGGGATTCAGAAGACAAATCGTATTCTGAGAATTCGATATTCAGGAAATGAGCATAATATGGGTTTGAGCCATGAAGATTCTGAAGGCGTCGATATTCTAGAAGTATCGATTTTTGTTTGGCCAGAAGATTCCAGTGATTGGTATAGAGGATTCGGGGGATCTGGAAGATATTTTATTCAATATAAAATTCTGGAATTTATGAATGTTCAACTTTTCGAAATCCATGGTTAGTTTTCAAAGTTTCGAGAATTCATAGAAATTTCAAGAATTTCAAAGTTTCAGAAAACTATGAATTTCTGAATTTTCAGAATTCCAGAAAACTTTTTTTGAGATTTTAAAATTTTTTCGAAAAATCTAAATTTTCAGAAAATTCCATAATTTTCTATGTCTTTTTTTAAATTTCACCTTATCCAAAATGCCTTCAAAGTTTGGCAAAATCGGAATCTCATCAGCAGTTGAAGCATTTTCATTGATAACTCCAACAATTTGATTTTGGCGGGAAATTTGAAATTTCGAAATTGTGGAATTCGAAAATTGGGGACCGATTTCAGCGGGATTCCGGAACGTTTTGAATTCAAGAAGCGCACTTTTAGGTTCCATTGTAGCCGAATTAGTCCAATGTGCTGAAATTTTTTTTTCTAAAATATATTGAAAATGTGAAACTCACCCATAACCGAGACACAGTCCAGACCACTTATTGCTGTACTACCGTAATCAAACACCAATGAAATTTTGCCCGCGAATTTCAAATCCGTCAGAATTCTTGATTCCAAACTTGACCGGAATGATGGGAGAACTAGATTGACGTAGTGTTCGACGCTTTTGAGTCTGGAAAAAAGTTTGAACAATTGAATTTCCGGTTACATTAAACACTCTAATAGAACGCCATCCGAACTGTCCACTTTGAGTTTAAATATCTCTCTTCTATTGAAAGATATCAAAAAGTTGTCAACTAATAAAATGATTATCATAATATCAGCAGAATTTTATCAGTTTACCATTTTTGATATCTCTCAAAAAAAATGAGATACATGGGCTCATACTTGCAAAAATCGTTGAAGGCACGGCCCGGCCCGGGAGGCCCGGATGGGTATTGTTTGGTCAAAATTTATCAAAAAAAAAATTTTTTTTTTTGATAAATTGGTGAGAGTTTTTTAATTAAAAAATTAGTTTTTGAGAAAAAAAAACAGTTATTTTGCTTCAAAAATGCAATTTTCCGTCCGATCCCACCTCCGGAAAAACGCCAGAAAAAAAATTATTTTTCAAAATTTTGTTTAACCATTTACAAATTCAATATTTACCATTTAGCTTAAAATTAGATCATAAGAACAACTTTTTTCCAAAAAAAAAACTTTTTTGCCTAAAAATCGAAGCTGGCGCCAACTGTCCGGGTCTTCCGGGCCTCCCGGGCCGGGCCTTGACAAACTTTTTGAAAGCCCGGCCCGGCCCGGCCCGTCGCAAAAATGCATGGGCTCAAATTTGACAAAACGTTTCTATTAGAGACTATTGAAAATTCTGGCATTTCTGAGTTTCCGGAAGTTCTGGGACTCCGGAATTATCTAAATTTCCGATTTTTCGAATTTTTGACTTTCTGATTTTCAAAAAAAAAAAAAACATCACTTTTCAATTTTTTTTTCAAAAATTAAAAAGAACTCACTCAAATCCAGGTTTTAATTTTCTGAGTAATCTTCTGAAGAATTCTCCTTCAACATTTTCCACTGGCCATCGATCCCCCAAAATCGTTTCAAAAACTAATTGATCCTGGTCCGTATGTTTATATGATGGATTTTTTGCCGGATACTTTTCATTAGATTCCTCAGAATTTTCTCTCCATAAGTCGACATTTTCCTCTTTCACATAAATACTGCTCAGCGAATTTTCAATGGTAGAGTTGTTGAAATCTTCGACAGATGGTCTCGACATTTTGGCACGAGCTTCCTCGAGGAGTTTGAACTGAAAATTATGGGAAATTAAAGATTCGGAATTTGAAATTTGAAAAGGAAATTCGGAAGTTTCGTAAGTTCCGAAATCCGAAAATTTTGAACTTTTGCTTCCAGGAATTCCAGATGTTCCAGACTAAGTCCAGAAGTTTTTTGATTACTGATTTTTTTCAGAAGTTCAAAAATTATGAGAGATTGAAAATTCGAAAAATCAAAAAAAAATCAGAAAATCTAAAATTCCGGAATTTCAGAAAAATCTCCGATTTTCCTGGAAATTCTAAAATTTTTGTAATTGAAACTTTTGTAATTGAAAAATTCCGGAATTTTCAAAATTTTTGATTCAGAAAAAAAATTCCGTAATTTCGTTTTTTCAAAAAATTCCAATTCCCAACTTTCAAAATCTCCAAATTTTCAAAAAAAAACCTCACTTCATTCATTTCTACCGGATGCTTTGTTGCCAAATGGAGCCTTATACAATTGGTTCCTCCACTCTTGGACCATGGAATTTTCGAAGGACACAATCGACAAAGTCCCATCTCCCCATCTCGATCGAAATATGCGGAATATTTACTTCTACTTCGCTTTCGGTCCATTTTTGCTGAAAAATCGATATTTCACCCAATTAGAAAGTTGCGGAATTTCATGAAAAACCAGAAGATTTTTTTCGGAATTAAAGATTTTCCACTTTCAACTTCAAATATATTCGAATTTTTAGGATAAATAGCCAAAAATGTACGGAGAAAGGACAATTCCTTATAAAGCAAGAAATTGGAAATAGAAAAGAAGGAAAAAGAAGGGAAGAAAGGGGACGACGCACACAAAGGAACAGAAATGCTGCCCCGTTTGCCGAGGACGTTTCTCTCCGTCTCTCCATTTCGCACACTCTCTCACTTACTTCCATTTCCCTCCTTTTCCGCTCTTTTTCTCTGCGTCTCTTTCCGTTTCTCGCTATTTCTCTGTCGTCCTCTTCTTCCTCTTCTTCCTTGTGAATTATACAGCGGAAATGGGAAAGAGACGAGCGGAGGAGGGAAGGAAGGAAGTGGAAGAGGCTTTCGTAAGTTTTCCCTCTCTCTCTCTCTCTTTCTCTCTCTCTTTCTCTATCTCTTTTTCCATCTTTCAAAAAAATATTAATTGAATTTCACAGAATTAAGAAAAACAGAAAAGAAACGCGCTCATTATACTTTTTTTCTTCAAGCTTGACATATCTGCTCTACCATGTAGAGTTGGTAGAGTAGTAGATTGTTGTCCTGGCGCTCAGCGGAAACGAACCCGCGGCGTGCACAGGTCCTGGGCGATGATGCGCATAAAGAACCCGATCCATATGCGATCCTCTAGAAGTCCGTTTGACACATATCGCGAACAACGAGCTGCGATGAGTCTCATATGTGTGCGATGCGGGAGAGGCTGAATCGAGTGTTCCGAATGCGCGCGTATCCTAGATGGATTCTAGGTGGGTGGGCGATGTGTGCGATATGGGTCTGATACGGTAGGCCGACTACAACACTCCGAAATCCCGGATGCGCCCATTGTTTACCGTAAATCCACACCGGCAACTTTGTCAATTTTTCGTCAATTCGAGCCTACATTTCTGGTTTTTCGATTATTCCTTCGATGTTTGTGAAAAAGAGTTATGGCAGAATAAAAAATCGTTGAATTCTTGCAGAAACATGTCTTTCACTCGTTAATTGCTAAGTTTTTCGCCAAAATAGGTGATATTGAGTTTTTTGATTTCACTTTGTAATTATTGTAAAAATCGTATTTTCAGGTGGAATAAAAGGTAAGTTGGTAAGTATGCAATAATTACAAAGTGTAAATTATAAAAATTTTCAATTTTTTCATGCAATTTCAAAAAAGTGAAAGTGAGACATATTTTTTGAAATGAAAACAAAACAATTTTTAGCGATTTTTTCCCATTTTGTTCTGTTTTTGATTGCATATCAAATTTAAATGGAAACTGCCATAAGTCTTTTTCAAAACAAAAACATTGAGTTTCGAAAAATCAGTAATATGTCGTTCAAAATATAAAAGAATATGGAATAATAAAGGAGAAGTACGAAATCGGAAGACCTGAACAAAATCACATCACAATAGAACTTAACTGATACTTCTAGGAACCCCCAACCAACGTTTTAGTTCATTTCATCGAGTGCCAGCAAGCCAGGCGAGGAGATGCTTTGCGGCGGCGGTGTGCCCCATATGCCCCGTATATGCCCCATACCGGCGTCCTTTCCCTGTACCCAATTCATCGGCGCGTCCTCCGTCGCCCATCCATTATGCGTATGCGCGCCCAGGACCAGTGCCATGTAGAGTTGGTAAAGTAGTAGATTATAATCCTGGCGCTCAGCGGAAACAAACCCGCGGCGTGCGGCGCGGCGAACAACAGCGCACACCATATGGCTACGCGTGCAACAGGGGAGAAAGGGGAAGGAGTACGTATATGAACGAGTGGGTGGCGAGAAGGCTAGAGGGAGGAGGGAGGAGGGGAAGAGGGAAGCTGAAAAGCAAAGAGCACCAAACTACGGATTTCCAATTACAGTTTTATTATTTTTAAAGTAAAGATATACATTCAAAAATACATTTTTATTTAGTTGAAAGGGGGACTCCGACCAGAAATTTGTATTGCATTAAAATGTGTTAAAATTTATCTATTTTTCAAAT